TATGATAAACTTGTTATATATTTTGATAGCAAACGTTTACAATAAGTAAAAGTAAGTTTTGTTTATCGTATGGGAGCCTGAATCGCAACATGAGCAGGAGGTATGGATGCCTTCGTAGGGGTATATCCAATGGCAGAGAAGGTGAGGGTGGCGTTGAGGGCGGAGGAGGCGAGAGCGGCGGCGGTGAGGGTGGCGGCGAGGGAGGTGGAGGCGAGGGTGGTGGCGGTGAGGGCGGCGGTGGTGAGGGTGGAGGCGGCGGCGGTGAGGCCGGTGGGGGCGAGGGGGGCGGTGGGCTAGGCCTCGTCTCGCTCGATTGACCCGGAGCCGTCCGCGTCAAACACGGCCCAGATCGCGTCGACGGTGGAGCGCATCTGCTGCACGCGCGTGGGCGATGTGGAGAGGCCTACAGGAATTCCGAGACGGTTCCGAGAAGGCGCACGGGAGTCGAGCGCGCGGGCGGCGTGGGGGAGGCCGAGCGTCTTGACGAGCGCGCGAACCACCTCCTCCTTCTCGAGTGAGCCCGAGTTGTCCTCATCCCAGTAATTGTACCAGCCAAGCTTGTCGCGCGCCTTTAGGAGAGGTGGCCGAAGCTTCCGGGAAGGCTCCCAATGCCTGCACCGCCCCAACCTACCGCGCGCCATGTCCGGGATGGGGCCCTTGCCGCCGCCCGACGAGGCGAAGACCTGTCCACAGAAAAAGAAGGTGCTCCGCTCATGCCAGCCGCGCTGTCTCCGTTGCGATCCCGGCGAGGCGAGGCCTGCTGCACGAAAGCGACGAGGCCGGGCGCCTCTGCACGCTCGATGAAGCCCGACCGGTCCTACATAGGGAGGCTCCCAGAACGGGTGCGCGGAGAGGGCGACAGAGTGGAGGCGAAGACGGGGTCGGCGGCGAGGGCGGCGGCGGCGAGGGCGGCGGCGGAGACGGTGGTGACGAGGGCGGCGGCGGCGAGGGCGGCGGCGAGGGCGGCGGGGAGGCTGGAGGCGAGGGCGAGAGCGGCGGCATGCCGGTTCGCCGGGCAAGAGAGGGGAGGGAGAGCGGTCCTTGTCCCACTGCTCCCACAGCCAATGCGACGGGTCGGCCAATGCGTCATCCAGCTTCGCGGCGTCGATCGGCAGCTGCGCCTGCAGCGAAGGTTCGGAGAACCGGTTCCGAGAAGAGCCCTGCCCACCAGCCTTCTCCGCATCGGGGGCTGC